AAAAAAAAATTTGTGCAAAAGCAGAGAAAGAGACCAGCAGAGCCAGTGGCCAGAGCACTTACTAGATGAATGGTCCAAACCACTAGGCCAGGTTTTACTCCACTTTTGATTGGAAAGTGCATCCTGTGCCATCAAAGCAGATTTGTTTCCACAAAAAGTTTCTGCTTTGACGAAACATTTTCAAATAGAAAAACGTGCGGTTGAAAAATTCCCAACCAACGCTATTAAAAAGGCTTTTTCAGTGCAACAAATTGTCACACACAGCCCTGTGCTCACAAGCAATCCTACGATAATAATGCCACAAAACCAGCTCCTTTAGGTGATCTTCTTGGATTGACCGACTCTGCTCTTCTGGTCAACAGCAGAAGGCTGCATCCGTGGTTTTGGTGCAAACCTTGATATGGTCACAGCAACAGCCCCACTTGAATATAAAAATTGATGGGAAGGTTCATCAGATAATGGTCCAGCTTCAGGGTAAAAGTTTGCAAAAAAGGAACTCAGAATTGCATATTTCCCGTGCAGTCAATGTTCCCTTGAGAGGCAGCAAGCCTGAAGGAGTCTCAGAGCCCTTTGCTGGGCAAGAGTATGATAGACATTTATTATTTCCTTTCCCTTCTATTCCTTACTAATGTAAAAACAAAAAGGTGTTAAGACAGGAAAATTCCTCTGCATTTAAATAAGATTCAAAGTCTGTCACAGCTGTCAGGAAATTCAATGTCACGGCTGAAATGGATCTCTTAAGCCCATAAAGATTTGACACTAGGTCTAGTATCCAATCTCCACTGGTGGTCAATGTTGTAGACTGCAGAGGAATGTGTGCCGTTCACAGACCTACACAGAGAACACGCTACCAAAGCAGGTTTCTTCCTTTCCACATCTGTTCATCTGTTTATGTTTTGAAGCATGAGGATCAGAGAGAGGTGTACTCCTAGACACCTGAAATTTGATGTCTTTCACCTCAAGATTTGGTTCCAAAATACTCAGGCACATCTCAAATGAAAAGTAAGGCAGCCCTTAGAATGACCCCAGTCCCATGTAACAATGGCTGATCCTGCATATCGTATATCAGTAGTTCTCAACCTTTCCAGATGACTGTACCCCTTTCAGGAGTCTGACTTAACTTGCGTACCCCCAAGTTTCACCTCACTTAAAATCTACTTGCTTACAAAATCAGACATAAAAATATAGAAGTGTCACAGCGCACTGTTACTGACAAATGGCTTCCTTTCTCATTTTTACCACATAATTATAAAATAAATCAATTGGAATATAAATATTGTACTTACATTTCAGTGTAGAGTATATAGAGAAGTATAAACAAGTCATTGTCTATGCAAAATTTTAGTTTGTGCTGACTTTGCTAGTGCTTTTTATGTCGCCTGATGTAAAACTAGGCAAATATCTAGATGAGCTGATGTACCCCCTGGAAGACCCCTGCATACTCCCAGGGGTACGCCTGGTTGAGAACCACTGTCTTATATGTCTTAATACCTAGGCAAAAAGGGGGAGGTAAAAAGTCAGTTTCCAGGTCTTGTATGGAACGCTTCTGCCAGGTGCTGTCAGCAGCAAAAGAGGCCCAGGTTCAATTTTCTAGGGGTTCCTTTGGAAAATGTAAATAACACCAGCTCAATCCCCCGCCCAGAAACCTGGGTAACTATGTAAACCACCCTGGGCACCCTTGATAGGCAATACTTCCCCGCTCATAAGCACTGACTCCTGGGGTTTACAAAAAAGAGAACTTATTAGAAGGGATGACAGAATGCACTTGGGAAAGCCAGCAATTAATTAATTAACATTTTCTATGAGGTAAAACTCCCTCTCCCCTAGGGTGTCTTAACAATAATCCCAACCTAGCCCTCCTCTTGCCATTGTGAGTGGCGACCGACCACGCTCCGGCCACTTCCCTCTGCCCCACCTCCCCACTCACCGTCTGTTGTCCGGGGTTGCTGGAGTCCAAGGACCCTGGCAGTTTGGTGCTCTGGGCTGCTCCAGGGACTCTGCCTTCTGACCCAGCTGAAATGATTTGGGCTCTGATTGCTGAGTAGGGAGGCCCCCATCAGAGTCCCTGAGGTAAACGGCAGCTCTCTGGGTGTTCCGCCCCGCCCACCTCCGCCTGCCACAAAATTGCTTCAGTCCACTGCCTTGAAACTGTCCTAATACAGCCGTTTAACGAGTCATCAGCAGGATATGGGACCCTTTGCAAAGTCCTTCCCAGCAGAAATAAACTCCTCACAAAAATTAGAATGTCATCCATCTCCCCATTGCTGCCTAAGCGTCCTTACCCAACTGTGCCTCATTACTAGGTGACCCTTCACCCCCGGCCTATATGGTGCAGATCTTTTCTCCTTCATTTCCCAACTGGGACAATAGTATTTTATTGCCTCCAAGCTCTACATGCCAAAATGTCCCAAATAGTCATGTAACTGAACTGCAAATGAGGCCTGGCCCACTTGGTCCCTTGCTCACCAACAGCTGTCAGCAGAGAGCCACAGGGCTTTATATGTCCACTGAAGACAGACTCTTAACATTACTTGAGCCTAGCTACTTTCGGTAGCCGAATAGACCCAGTGGATAAAAATCCTGGCTCTGTTGCAGTCAATGGCAAAACTCCCATGGGCCTTGGTGTAGATGGGATTTCACCAATTAGCTTTGAATTCTGAACATTAATGCAGAGCAAATCATTTCCCTGCTGCCCTGTCCACACAAAAAACTCACATTCACGAGTTGTAAACCATTCTTTTTATAAAACTTTCTGACATAATCCTGCTGTACCTCAGCTCCCTTCCGCTCTATTCTCCTCAGAAAAGCAACTGTAGAATTAGTACCATTAGACTCCATATTTATATTCTCTCAATCATGCCTAGTGCAAATATGCTCTGTTTACACGTTAAAAAAATGGGTTTTCCCTCAGAACTTCAGTCCTGCAAACTCAGCTTGGGAGTCAAGGTGAACCACTAGTGGCTTGTATGGCATCTCTAGTTACCAATTCCAAGAGTTTGGAATCTGACCAATGATCTGAAGTGGTTCCATTTTGCAGTGGCCAATTTTAGACACCTCCATTTCAGAAGGTTTAAGATGAAAACTGATGTTCCCCAAGTCACAACTCACTTTTGAACATTTTGGCCAAGGATTCTGCAGGGCAAATTTTGCTCTCGGTGATACCTGTATACCCTTACTGCTCTGCGATTCTGCCCCAAACGACATGTGTGCAAACTCATGGTCTTCACATTTTGCCAACACTGACACCTGTGAAAGCACATGCCTGCCTCTGGAAACTACTCAGCAGTTCTATTGGTGGGGCACAGTTGGAATAGAACACAGCTCGCTCTATCATAGCTGTGTTTAACAAACAGTTAAACAAGGAAACACTTACGTTTGTAACTAAAATGAGCAGGTCCAGTGGAATACACCCAGGGAACAGATCTGTTGGGTAAGAAGGTGCCATTTTTAGAGTCACTGTTCAGAGTGAATCTTCATTAATCAAGCACGTGAAGATTATTGGACTGGAAACTTGCTTGTGATGGGTTGTGTGTGGAGGGGGGAAAATACATGGAGAGTCTCCATTAATAATTTGTTAAAAAACCCCAAAGGTTGGACAATCAGAGGTAAGTCTATACCCTCAATAATGACTGTAACACAGGGAGTCAGCATAGTCTAAACCAATAGGGTAGCCATTAGAGAAGTGTGTTCTAGTGATGGAAGCACTGGTCTAGAACTCAGGAAACCTGGGTTCTTCTGCTTGCCTGCTGGGTAACATTGGGCAAGTCACTGCACTTCCCTGTACCTCAGTTTCCCTATTTGTAAGATGGGGATAATGAATGATACTTGCCTCCTTTGTCAAGCGCTTTGAAATCTATTGATGAATAGTGGTATACAAAGGCAAAGTATTATTTACTTTGCTCTTAGTTTCTTTCTCTGCATCTAAAATAAATATCGTTTAGCCTGGAAGTTCATGGTTTTGCTGTGAGGTTGGGGAAAAAAGTGTAACAATATGATGTCTTAGAGAAGAAAACAGCCATTTATTTTCTCACATTTTTTTACATCATAATCCTCATACAACAGTTGTCAGCGTAACATTTAATACATTTTTTTAAAAAAACCCACAAAGATTACTTGCAAAATTATATATATTTTAATATCCAAAAATACATTGCATATATATAGTAGCAAAAGCCCATTTCCATGGGGAAATTTTTTTAATAATTTTTTATTTTTTTTGCGATTATTGCAGTAATGTTACCTATAAACATTCCAAAAGCACTAAGACCTAAACTGATTAGCTTGATCTTGTTTTCCTCTTTTGTTAAATAATGGCATCAGTGCTTCTGTTTAAAGTTATGACCAAACTATAATGTTCTGTTTTAAGGTCCCAATTCTGCAAGCAAATACACGTGGACTAACCCTTGCACTGACACAGACATTCAGAGGTTATGTCTACACTAGATATTTTTGCTCCTGTTAAATGATTGTCAATTAATTCCAAATTAGCTAATAAGCTTGTAAGTACCAATCTAAGACCTCTATAAACATTTGTTCCAAGACCTTCATGTTTCTGTCCTGAAATAAACATTCCTGGATCATCAAGACTAGCTTCGCAAATTAGAGGTAGTTGAAATTTTTCAAATGTTTGATAAAAATGTTCTACAAAAGCTTTTCAAAAATTTTTTTGGGGGGGGGGAGGAATGTTTGTTGATTTTCAACCAGCTTTATAGAATTATCAAAATGTTTGAAAAACTCAGTTTTGATGGAAAATTGTCGTGAATGGAAAATGTTGATCCTTTTTTTCAACTAGCTTGAATACAAACATGTTGGCTGACTTGAGTTAATTAGCATCAACGAACTCAAGCTAAAACAGGAGCACAAAAACTGTGCTTTAGACACTCCCAATGAGCTCAGACGTGTTCCACACTAGGATAGGAAAGAAATCTGCCTGGATCCGGTTGTGGGATCAGGGCTCTATTCCCACCAGATACTTTACATGTATCTTTTTTTCATTTTAATTTTTTTCGCAAAAAGTACAAAGCTACAGCCCAAATGTACAGATTGAAAAGATGTACAAATTACATTTAAAAAAAACCAAACAAGACAAACAACAACATAAAAACCCACAAACAACTGATCTGGTAGTAAAAATAACCTGCATTTGTGACTGAGGTCAACTCGTTTTATTTCATCTTTCTTTTAATATTGTGAGATATAGGGAAAAAATAACTCTGCATAACTTATACAGTAAGTAGCCTTCTGATTAGCTGACCCTTAGAATGACGGTCTGACAAACGCACAGCGTTCGCGAATCGGTAGCGCTTAGCGATCCCGAAAGCTTTGGCAGAGCTCTCCAGGATCTGCTGTCGTTTATTTCATTTTTGCTCTCAAGGAATGTCTGTGCTTGATGTTAGGTTACTTTCTTTTGTTCTGGTCTCAGATGTTTCTGGAGTTAATATACAGTCCAACACAAGTTGCACACTCTAGAAAGGTTCCTTGAATGCCCTTTACTTCTTTATATATATATAAAATTTCCAGTTGGGTGAAAAACCTCATTGGCCTTAATTAAAGCTAAGATTCCAGTTGCCATCCTCTGCAGCCCCAGGTCCTCACAACATAATATCTGACTCTTCCATCCCCTCCCCGAAATCAGAAACCCTCCCGCCAAAAACACACATGTAGTCCTAAGTCCCCGTTAAACAAACATAGCATTCTTCTAAGACCCACGGCTGGATATATGTCTTGTTAAGAGCCTTCGGACTGCTAATTTTTTTTTCTCTTGTCTCGTAAAAATTCAAATGCTGATAATCATTCCAGGTTGTGGTGAGCAATCTTCATGGACAATTCCTACAGAGGACATAAGACTTAGAACCAAAATAAAAACACAGAGTACTGGCCTGCAGAGGTATCCATCTCTCATTTCAAGATAGAAGAGGCAAAATTACAAAAAAAAAAGAAAAAAAAAAGAGAGAAGGTTTGATCCAAGAATAACTAATATCCAGTTTTTAATTCCCCCCACAACAATGGCCCACAAAATATCCAAAAAAGGTCCAAAAAATCCCAGAAGTAAAGAGAGCATCCAACCAGATTGATAAAGGCCACTGAAGGTAAAAACATCTAGTAGTAGCTGCCCAAGTGCGATGGTACATGAGTGTTGGGATGACGCGGGACATTGGGGTTTGGGTAGATGCTGCCCGTAGGGGAGGTCCAATAGGATGCTGCTGCTCCGAAGAAACTGGATGATGTGACAGGCATGGAGGAAGCGTGGGGGGGCACAAAGTTCACCTTCTGTTGGTGTGCATGGTAAGAAGGCATATAGGAAAGATCTGATGGGTACTTATACATTGAAGACTCAGTTGGATGAGGCTGGAGAGCCTGGGCAATGCCGTGAAAGTCAAATTTGTAGGCATACCTTTTGCCATGCACTTTGGTCATAATGTTCTTATCGTAGTAGTATCGGAGGGCTCGGCTCAGCTTGTCGTAATTCATGTTGGGCTTGCTCTTGCGCTCTCCCCAGCGCCTGGCCACCTCGTCGGGGTCTGTCATCTTGAACTCCCCATTGGTCCCCTCCCACGTGATGCAGTTGGCATTGGAACTGTCCGACAGCAACTCAAGGAGGAACTGCCACAGCTGGATCTGCCCACTCCCTGCATGAAGCGAGCCAAAGAGAAAAGGAAATGACATTCCATTTCCTGCTTAAACGAAAAGACAAAGACAGGAAACAGAGGGACTATCTCAATCTTTGATGGGAAAGTTTCCTTCAAGCCTTACAAACTCTTGTGGAGGGCCGGCCCACCTATTCCCAGAAAACAAGTCACTCAGCCTCTTCTTCTGTTTGAGGTCAGACTAGCTGATCAGAATGGTCCCCTCTGGCATTAAAATCGACAAATCTACAAAGCATTCATAAATGGGCTTTTTATGAACATGGTCATTATTCAGAATTATTCACTGAATAGCTGACATAAGCGTATTTCGACCTCGCTTTGCTCACTGACTATTTTCATAACTATTGCTGCAAATACCTGCAGTTCATAATTTGCCATGTGCAGCCTTGTGGCTGATCACCTAAATCACAGTATTATTTCTTCTCTCAGACTGGATGACTCCTAGACTATTTCAAGATGGCCGTACTAACACTTCCTGTAAGGAGGCTCATGAGAATCCGTTTTCGCGTGAGCATTCAACACCTTCTCCCTCTGCGAACAGAACACGTGTTTGTGCAAATGTAACCCACATTAATGACAAGGTGGATCTTTGTCCCCCTCTTGTGGCTGGGCCATGTAAAGAGGTTTACGAGATTGCAACAGCCTCGATGCGAATCGACCTTGTCTGTTAGCTCAAGCAAGAGATGCTCATGATCTTGCTCCTATTACCAGAGGTCTATAGATGACTTGATCAGGGAGTCATTGTGTAAACATAGCAAGCCTGCAAATGGTGTCCACAGAAGCTAGCTAAGAGCTTAAGCAATTTAGGACTTCTACTCTGTGGCATAGTATTAAAGTTCCTGGGTTCAAATCTGGTTAGCTGCTTTGAGGGAGAAGGGTAGAATGCTTGTGGTGAGCAACTTCATGCGGTGTCCAATACCGAAGAAGTGACTTCATTGTTTGTATTCAAACAAAGACTATTTGGCACTATCCACCCAGTTTTACTCTTGTATTGTCCTTTTACTATATCATTTGTCCACCCTGGCCTTATAATAGTGAAATGTCACTCCTGGGGAAGACAGTCACTCAAGATCCTTCTTACTACTGTATTTAAGGCCCATGGTGGGGACTGCACATGGAAGCTACCAATAGTACAGCCATGTAGGGGATCATGAAGAAATTCTCCACACCAGCTGCCATGACCAGCACAGAGGGCAGTGGTAAGGACAGATGTGGGATCCACTCCTATTCAATCCAATGGCCCATATACTCTACACAAGCAGCAGAGGGACAAAAGCTATGATTCCAGCCGAGTCTGGAGCGGTGGCTCATGAGAGAGTTGGCCGTTTAAACAGGAGTTGGAATTTGCTTTTAAGATAGTGGTCTGGTGTCCCAAACTGAACTCACCTGGGTTGGCTAGGCGGCTGCTGGTGGGTCCCAGAATTTGATAGGGATCTAAACAAAGAGACAAGAAATCTTTTCTTTACTCTACTGCACAAAAAGAAACAAAGCACTTCTCTATTTTTCTTAACCAGAATAATCCAGATGTCCATTTTCCTTCCTTTTTTACATTGCCACTCCCCTCCCACAGATCAGTCCCATTGGCCTCTTATGTTGTTTAATGTACAGACGCACATTACTTAGGGAGGATTTAATAACCTAGTGGCTGCTGCACTGTTTTCATAGAGTATCCCACTTTTTAAGATCAAAATCCCCACTGGACACATGCCACAGCACCAGCTACAGCAGTTGGCTGCATGAAAACATAGCATCAGGCCAGCACATCACGACTGGATCAGAGCAAATACATTTGCTTTAATGTGAGCAGTTGGGCCACTTGCTTAAGTGTGCTTCATTTTCTAGTTGGGCTGATTATTTCCTCTTCTTGTGTGCAGGTGGGATTTTCAAAAACACTCCATATTGGCTCAGCTCTGCTCCCAGTGAAGTCAACGGAAGATTGGTCCAACTCAGCTCTGACTAAAGTCAATGGGTGTTTTACTGCAGATGCTAACGGAAGCAGAATGAGGCTCCTGCTGAATGCTTTTTAGAAATTCCATCATGTGTTTATTAGGAATGAATCTCCCCCCTTTTCCTGGGGCCCCACTGCTGTAATCTCTCTACTTCCCTTCATTGTCCCTTGGATTTTGGTGTTGGCTCATGGCTGACTTTACACCCTAACAAAGAAAGGTACAAAGCAGCTGTGCAGAACATTGAGAGGGCGTCATTTAGTTGGGAAACCCAAGCAAGAACTATCACTGCTTGAAGCCTGATAGGACTTGATTCTCTTATTTACGGTGCTTTGATAGTGGTGTACCTCTGTCGACTTTGCTGGAGATGTTCCCAATTTATATTGGTGTAAGGGAGGTTAGAATCCAGCCCGTAGACCCTTCACCACTGTGGCAGAAGCAGCTCCGTTGACTAGCTCTTTCAGAATCCTTTACACTGCCTGCTGTGGGATGTCAAAGGAGATACCAAAGCAGCTGACACTAAGGATTTTGGACACTGCACATGACAAAGCGGATACAGGGACATCTCTTTTAAATGGGGGGGAGGGGCGTCAATAAGCAGCCAGAAGAAAGGGGTTTTGGATAAGCCTTGTTGGTGGATGAACAGAGTTGACCAAGTATTATAAGTGTTTGAGCCCACTTAACTTGTGCCTAAGACTGTCCTTGCTTGAAACATTACAATACCAGGTTGGGAAATGAAGTTGTTTATGGGATACAGCCGAGCACACACTGGACACATTTACCTGGTTGGGGCCGTTGCTGTTCTGTATTCTTATTCACAGTTTGAGTCCCTGCAACCGGGGGACCTGTAATAACAGGAAAAGTGAGATCTTAGATGTACTGCAAGCAGAGGAGAGGGAACAAATAGGGAACAAGATGGATACAGTGTATACGTGAACATGACCAAGCCAGTGGAGATCGGCAGGAAACAGTTTTGTGGTCATATGGGAATTGTTGAGTTTTCATACATATTTATTACCCTGAACAGGGATGAAAAGTCAAAATCACAATTTTCATCAATGGAAACATTGTAAAGAATTTTGAATCAGGTCAAACTAAATGCTTCCATTTGATCATTTTGACCTTTTGAAATTCTTTTTTACTCTCAGTTAACCTAAATTTCGAAACCAACGGTTGCTTCAAATTGAAAAATGGAATTTTTTGTTTAGAAAAGGGCAAAATGGGATGTCAACGATTTCTCAACTTTTTTCTGGATTTTTTTTTTAAATGGGAAATTCGCCAAATGAGCCTTTCCCATGAACAATTTTGGTTTTGGAAAATCGACATTTTCTGAAGGAAAAAAAAAAGTTTGGTCAAAAAATTCCTGACCAGCACGACAAATCAGTTCAACCTTAGCCCTAGCATCTGCTCCACCCATTCAGATCCTCACTGATAACAGAGATAATGCTATAAAACAAAGGATGATCTTCCCATTCTGAGTGAGCATTTTCCATAAAGCTCCTAAACAGAAAGTACTGATTTAGTGCCAAATTCTGCCAGCCTTACCCCAGCTGAGTAATATCTTGCTCAGGGACAACTTGTAGCCCCAGGACATGTGACACCAGTGTCTATAGGATCATCCATATGATGACTTCAATGTGCTTTACAAATATTAAGGGCCAGAATTTGCTACTCTTTCTCACGGTGAGTGGCACCTTTCTCCTTTGAGCAGTAGTAAGGTATTGGAGTATGGCGTCATTCATCATGATTAATTGTATCAGAATCTTGTCCAATGTAAGGATGGCTCTAATGAATTAAGTCTCACAAGAGACTGGAAGTTAATAGGGCCTGGATCCTCAGTCATTCTGATGCCTGTACAACAAGCAAACCAAACCTTGCCCAACTCATGACCATGTTTCGATCCTCTGCATCAGAATTTGCCACCCACAACAGGGCTACTTACTTTTGGTGAGGCTGGAGTTCATGTTATTGCCCCATCCGGCTCTCCTGACCGCATCATAGGAAGGATCTAATGACAAACGACAAGAGGGAAGGAGGAGTTGAGTTCAGACTGCGCCAGGAAGGCTAGACAGGTGGCTAGTTGTGATTATTGCTTAAGAAATTTTACACACGCTTTAGTTACTTTGTCTCCGTGCCCTGGCCTACATATGTGTTTCAGCCACCTGTTATGTATTGTCCATTATAGGGCAAGGGCCTTGGGGCAGGGCCTGTCATTTTTGATCTGTCTGTACAGTGCCTGGCACAATGGGACTCTGACCTCTCTGACCTGTAGGCACTGCCACAATATGAATGTTAAATAATAAGACATGGCATGGGACAGGTGGAGCTTTGGGAGACATTGTGCAGGAGGTGGCTGGTAGAGGGTGGGAGCAGGGGTGAGGCCTGGGCCTCCATCTCCTCCCTGCACAGGTGGTGGTAGTATGGACCGGGCCTGTGCTTGACTCCTGTGGGGGGCACAAGTTGGCAGTGGAGGGCAGAGAGGAAAACAAAAGCGCTTAGTGCCCTCCGCCCCGTTTTGTACACCCGTGCTAGTGTCAGGCACCATCTGGTCCCATGGGAATAGATGGGGTGGACTGAGGCTAAATGTAAACTGAACCCAACAAAATTTGAATGTCTGTCTAGTCAGAATCTGCCTCTCAGCTGCCCCCCACCCTCCCAAAATCTGTGCCTTCTTTCCACTCCAGAGCCCTTGCTCATCCTCCTGGCCCATCGCGAGGCTGCAATCAGGTGTGCCTTGCACAGCCGCCTGCTCCTCTGCCTCGCTGCTTCTTCTGCCTGCCCTGTGATTGTGTGGTATGGATCTAGGGTGACCAGATAGCAAGCGTGAAAAATCGGGACTGGGGGTGGGAGGTAATTGGCACCTATATAAGAAAAAGCCCCAAATATAGGGACTGTCCCTATGAAATCGGGACATCTGGTTACCGTACATGGATCCCAAGGAGCCTGCCTTAAGAACTGGTAAATATCCAGGAAACAGAGGAACTGTTCATGGTTTAGGAGAGGTTGGACGGAAAGGAAAGTTCACAATGGAGATCATGAAAAACATCCTGATGGGGAGCTGTACTGGGCTCCTAAGGGGAAGGGTGGAAGCCCAGGCACTTTAACAGCTGACCTTGGTAAAGCCCTGGAAAATCTAGGTCTCTGCAGGGAGATGTACTAGATGACTTGGTAGAGTAGCTGCCATTAAAAAGTCAACATTTCCCAGCACTTATTATTGCATGGAGTATCTGATGAGATGCCACAGTTATTTCCTCCCACTTAGAAGAAAGAACCTTGCTAAACACTGAATGGTGAACACAGCAAGTTTTTTCTGTCTCTGACCACTGTGGATCATGGGCAGCCTTGAGTTATGGGTCCAGATCCACAGCAGGTGTCAATCAGCGAAGCTCCATGCCGATTGACATCAAGTGAGGATCTGGCCCATGACTGATTCGGAAGCTGCAGGAAACCTTCCAAGGACATTGAAGGGGCCCTGGAAGGGTGCGGCAAAGCACTGTGTTAGAGAAAGGGGGAAAAACAATGGGCTCTGATTTCACAACAAGCAACACTGGTGGGTGAGGATTGGCTTGGGGCAAAGATGTGTCATCAGAATCCTGCATTTTAAATCCCTAGTTTTTTTTATTGTTATTGCTGAACAGTTCACAATCCACGTTTTCCCCAGCCCATCTTCTCATTCTTGTTCTGGAGTGGCTGGACAGAAAAACCACTCAAGGACCAGACTTAGAGGTAGTGAAGGGACGAGCCACTAGGTTATTCAACATGAATCAAGCCAGGGCTTTAAACGAAAAAGGATTCCAAAGTCTCCTTGTGGACAACAAAGAAACCATAAAAACCACGCTAACACGCAACATTCAAAACAACCATCATCCTCATCAGAAAGCACTTCAACAGATGAACTGCTGCCCCCCAACTCCTTCCGCAACCCCTCGAGTGAATAAGAGCCAGGAGGTGGCGCTGCTCATGCCCTTGTCCATTCTCATCGTTTGGGGCTGGAGAAGAGCAAGGAGACCGGAGCGAATCTCCTTGTGGAAAAATCCACGTGCACTCGCCCAGTCCATCTGGCTCTGCAAAAGCCTCTTCAGTTTTTTAAATTAGTTATTGGCATGAAAAGAAAAACAGAAAGAGGGAGCATGGAGGAGAGCAGAGGGAAGAGAGAGAAAAGGGGGGAAAGGAGCTCATTTAACTTGTCTGTTTTTATTTTTATTTTACTGTTGTTTGTAATAGAAACCGCAATCCGTGCTGCAAATAGGTCAGACTTAAAAACAACCCACTGTGCATTAAGAATCTGACAAGACATCTCCCAAGGACAGAGGCCAGTCTGGGTTTCTTGTTCTTCCAGCGGCAGTGCTGGGGACTGGTTCCCAGCTGCATTTTGCCAAGTGAACCTTTCTACCCAGCTAAGAGCCATTGGGGTAAACAAGCAAAGCTGCTATATATGTACCAGTGGAATTTTCCCCTGCTTGAAACCATTGGTGGAAATTGCACCTTGTGCTGTCTACACTAGGGGCTTGCACCAGTGTCAGTATGGTAGTGGTTGAAATCAGAGCACAATAGATAAGGCTTAAATTGTAGCCCATTCCCCTTGTAACCAAATGGCTTCTTCTTCCCCATCCTTGGCAGCCAGCCAGTGACTTTCATTCCTCCCCTTTGATAATCCTTGGCAGGTACATAAAACTGCATATTAACTCTAAGCTTTTGGCATCATTTGCCAACAAGCTGAGGCCCGGGAGCCCCACTAAAACTGCGACAGGAAGACGGCAGAGTGGCATTGCAGTGGGTGGGCCCAGCTCCAGTTAAAGAAGGAAGGGGGTCGTTTCTGAGATGCGTCCAGAGAAGTTTTAAGTTTCTTTCAACTTTTCTGGTTCAACTCGCAACTTGCCACCTTCAGATCCCATGAGCTACAGCATCTTTTCTAGATTAGGTTAGGGGCCGAAAGCAGAACCTTGCCAATGCACACGACATGACTGGCTGACCCACAGCGAATCAACACAACAAAAAAGAAAAGATAACAGTAGAACATTTTGCGTCTAAAGATCCCAGGCACACCATAGTGGTGGCCTGGATGATTAGCCACATTCTACAGATGGGGAAACTGAGGTATGGAGCAGCAATGGATGATTTAGTTGGGGATTGGTCCTGCTTTGAGCAGGGGGTTGGACTAGATGACCTCCTGAGGTCTCTTCCAACCCTGATATTCCATGATTCTATGAATGTGACCTGCCCATGGTCACGTAGATCCAGAGTGTAGCCCACATCTCCTGCTTGCCATTCCAACGCTTTAACTGCAAATCCGTGCTCACTCTTGCGATAAAAAATACTGGATCAAGACACAGAGGGCCAGATTCTCAGCAGGTGTAAATCGGCGTAGCTGCATTGACTTCTACCGAATGAGGTTGATTTACCCCTGCTCAGGATCTGCTCTTCGGCGGAGATTGCCCAGAATGACGTTAAAGTCATTAATCATTTTAAAGCTCCCTGTGCTGGTTTCTTTGCACCCTTCTTTCAAGGCAGCTGATTTGGGAGTGCAAGGGTGGTGTTATGATTACAGTAGTGGTCAGAAAACCCAGTTCAATTCCCCCCTCTCTCCTCCTGTGTGACCTTGGGCAAATTACTTAGTCTCCCTTTGTCTCGGTTCCCCATCTACAAAATGGGGATAAGATACTTCTCTGCCTCTCGGGGTGGGTTGTGAGGATTAATACCCCATAAGCCCCTTCAATGCTATTGGGAAGGGGGCCGAATAAGGTTAATAAATAGTTCCTCCATTGTGTGGCACAAGGGGTGAGAGAGATTCAGCACAACAGCCAGTCATGCAGGTTTTGCTGTGGCAAACAGCTCACTTGTGCTCTCTCTCAAGCAGTGCAAGTTTCCACCTCTCTCAAAAAACAAAACAATCAAATCTGCCAACGTTTTTTTTTTCTTCACAAAAAGTTGTGCAATGTGAACGAACCACAGCAGCCCGGCCAGCTTCTAGTCCCAGACTCTAAAGCTGAACGTGTTTAAAACAAAATGGAAAAGGCAGAGCCAGGGAACCCATCCAGAGACTCGGGTTTCTGCAAAAACAATATTGTTCCCAGGATCTGACGCCCAGTGGCTCGAAGAGATTCTACAGAACTCTGGCCAGACGGTTAGTTATGCAGAGCGTCGTTATCTGTCGTAAAGTGGCTCAATTTTCACACTCAAATGCTCCAAGCTACAGAGTTTCAAATTAAAAATATGAGGCCAGGTCCTCTTCTGGTGTAAATCAGCAATTGACTTCAGCTAAGCTAGGCCAGTTTATGCCTGCTGAAGTAAATTACGCCTGCCCTAGGTCTGTTTTAGACTTAAAAGGCCCATTTGAACAGCAGCCCTGTGACAAACGTGTATTCAATACAAAATGGAATTAAAGAGCACAAAATAAATCATAGATGTTTTCAAGAAATGTCATTCTGCAGCTGTCTGGTTTATATCCAGAAATTCCCCAGAATGAATGCAGACTCTATTAGAGGCAAGGTACAGGATATTAATAACACTTTGCACTTTCATAGCACCTTTCAACTGAGGATCTAACAGCTTTGCAAACCTTCATGCTCACAACATGCCTTGGAAGGAGGTGAGGCATCATTAGTGTCATTTTATTTATTCACATTTGTAAATGCACCTCCCCAGGTGCTATTATATGGGAGGGTAAACTGAGGCACTGGGTGACATGACTTACCCAAAGTCACACAGTGGTAGAATCAGAATCCTGAAGTTGGTTCTCGGCCCTCTGTTCCAACCTTTCACCCTAACCGCCTCCCCATGGACCTCCTCCTGACTGAAGTGGAAGCCAATAGGACACAGGACTTGGTAGGATAGGACCCCTGATGGAATTCCTGGTTCCTTGCTAGGTTACTCCAGGTGTGAAGACCAATGATTTCCATGGAGCTACGCTGATGTAAAAGTGAAATAACAGAGTGGTGAATCAAGCCCTCAAGGCCCACAATAAGCAGTGGGAAGGCCCGGCTCATCCTCCGGTTGAAGTCAAGGAGG